CAACTTCTCTGGGCAACCTGTTCCTATGTTTGACCACCCTCAAAGTTAAAACTTGTTTTCTTGTGTTCAGATGGAATGTCATGTTTTTTAATATGTTCTCACTGGCCCTTGCGCTGTCACTGGGCACCGTTGACCAGAGCCTGGCTGCCTCTTCTTCATTCCCCCCCTCTCCCCCCCTCAGGTATTTATACACTGGTGAGATGTCCTCTGAGCTTTCTCTTCTCTATGCTGAGCAGTCCCAGCTCTCAACCTCTCCTCATAGGAGAGATGCTGCAGTCCTTTAATAATGTTCTTGACCCCTTGCTGGACTTTCTCCAGTATGTCCATGGCGCTCTCATACCAGGGAGCCCAAAGCTGGACCCAGCACTCCAGGTGTGTCTCACCAGGGCTGAGAAGAAGCCTCTTGACTGTCACCTCTACAAATACTGAGAGAGGTGGGGGTGGAAACGAGACTTTCACCCTTTGCTCAGATGCAGTCTCTGTGTTGAGAGTGTGCAGGTTGATGTGAGCTGATGGTTAGGGATCCGTGCAATGACTGGTGAACTCAGACTGCTCTCCATTGGAAAAGCATTTGTATCACCAAAATCACTGTCCCAAGCACTACCTTTTGCAGAGTCTTAGCTAGGAGGCCGAAGAGAAGATTTCAAGAAAACAGGCAATCCTCTCCACCTAGATGTGGGAAGTGAAATGTTTTGGCAGAAGAGGATGCCTCCAAAAAGCCTACTGCTTGGGTCAGTACCCACAGCGTGTCACGCTTCAGGAGCTTTCTGTAGCTCTCCTGGAAAAAGAAGCAATGGCTTAGGTAGTGACAGAGATGTCTTTGGCTGCTGGAGAAACGGGTCATTTTCCGACACAGCACGTCACAGTGTTAGGACTTGGTGCGCATTTCCCAGTGAGCTCCCGAGTGTGGAAGTCCTCACGAGTGCCATGGTAAAAAAATCACAGCCCGATTGCCTGTACTATCGTTTCAGAGCCATGCAGAGGATGATCTAACTCAAATGCATTTATCTCTGCAAATAAGCAACATTACTCAAGGATGCGGGGAGGAGAAATGCCAGAGAGGGACCGCGCAAAACTTCTCCCAAATATGAAATGGCTTCTGGAAGGCTGTGTCAGCTTTTGCTAAACACCAGCACAGAAAATAAACAACCAACCAAAGAAAACATTTCCTTGACCGCAATAAAAAGCAATTGTTTCACATACTCAATTCAACACATCCTTTAAAACCAACCACGGAGGCTAAGAATACAAATAGGGCAAGTGTGAATCACTAGGGAGTGCCTGAAAAAAACACACAGCGGAGGACACGTACGGTGCCTTTGCCTTCAAAGCAAAGATCTCTCTATTGCTTGGAATAACTCTGCTGTCACAGGTCAATGCCACCATCCTGCGGGGATCCAGTCCGAAAACCTACGCAATTAATGTCTGACAAGCTCTCAAGAAAGCACCTTTGCCCAGGAGTTAATACCTTGCATTACAAACAACATGCTTCAGATATATTGCGTCATTAGCTATAATTAGCGGGCGAACAGAACCAGATCTGTGTTGCGCTGCTACCGTACAGACAAGGCTAGAGAATAAAAAAAAAAAAAAAAGAGAGAAAAAAAACAACAAAAAAACCCAAACAAACAAAACCAGCTCGACGCTGCTGTTCGGAGCCATCAGACCCTCTTCCTTGCCGACGTTAGGCGCCACGGGCGAGTAACCGCTTTGAT